GTCGTGCCCGCCCGGGGTCCTGGGAGAGGGAACCGAGCGTGAGATAAGGAAAACTTGGAGCCAGGGTGAGCTCTTTAGAGCATCCCCTGCCATGGGGCGGGGGGTTGCCCTCAGGTGCTTGGAGACTCTACTGAAAGCTCCCAACCTTTTATTCCCCTATAACTGTTTCTGTCGGCTTATCTTACCAAACAAGAGCATTGCGTTTTGGAATTGGGGACCTCCAGTAGCCCTTTCAAATGGGACTGGAGCTGCATCAAACCGTGTGTGCCAGAATAACGGAGCCGGTTTTTGGAGGTAACCCGTGCTCTCTCTTGTTACACCTGGGTGCCACATGTTGTGAGAGATGGCAGTAACCATCCTTTATTTCCAGGCTTCTTTGAACATTCTGCAATTAAAATGCAGCCTAACTTCATCCTCTGTAGGCCACTGAATCCTTTCTCTATATTTTTACAGTGCATCAGATTCTGCAGAAGTGCTTTACGCTGCTCCTTCTGCAGAATACTCTATAAGAGCAGAGTCAGCTCCCAGTCTCATAGGACAGTCATTCAGAGTGCTCCTGGAGGATCCTCACAGCGAGGCCAGATGAATCGTTTTGGCAGCATTGTTCTGATGCTCTCTTCCCCTGGAGCTTAGTGGCTCCTCCCCGGCTGCAGTAGCTTCATTGCACGTGCATTGCATGGCATGTCCATACGTCCATCTGTTCTCCAGGAAAGGAGATTGCTGTGACCAGACTGCAGAAATTATCTGCAGTAGCCCATAGTTTCCTTGTGTCTGCCTTTGAGTTGCTCTTAGGAAGAGGGATGTGTGGAGTAGTCTTCATGGGCAGGCAGCCGAGTCTTGAGCAGTCCTTTCTCTTGGGAGCAACTGGGGAAGCGCCTGCATGTACATGTCTATACACAAGTAGAAAGCTCCCTGTGCTAAGTGCCTACATACAAGTGCTGTCTTACTCCTGCAGTGTGCATAAGGCTTGCATGCAACTGGTGTACTGAGCCTTATATGTGGGGATGGTGCTTCCTTGCACAGAGTATCAGTGGCTCTGTGATAGGAGTCATGGACTCTGACCTCTCTCACCATTAAAACAGGCTGATTGGTCTTCATCACCTTTCTGGCTGTTCCTCTGTTATAGTACTACTCGCTGGGAATAGTTTCTGCATCCTGTAGTAAAGAGGAATCTGAGCCTTGGTTTTCTACCTCCTGGGTATATTCAAGCATTAGGTTCATGTAAGCAAAATAAGCAGTGCTTCCATAGCTGTTACCAGTGTCTCAGAAGCAAGTATCTGTGTGTGCTTGAGAGCCTCTACACACACCCTGGAGCTCTTTAAAGGTATTTTAAGTACCTATATGCTCTGGGAAGAAAAATATGTAGGTGTGTTTAGTTAACTTCAAGCAAGTATGCTTGAAGTCACTGCCTGCAGCCAGGCTGTGACTTGGGCACAGTGCCACACGAGTGTCTCTGTTGGCCAGCATCTAGCCACAGCATGGGCAGAAAGCTCATGTTTGCTGGAGGCTAAATACCTAAATCTGTCCTTCTCCAGTCACTCATCCGCTCTGTCATTCTGCTGCTCTGTCAGTCTTGCCTTTCCTTCTGAGTCCAGCACATCCTTCTCCCGGGACTGGATTCAGACTGACTAGGTGCTGTCAGCCATGGGCATGGACACATGTCATGGCAGCTTTAAGGCTGCCTTAAAACTTGAGGTTTTGCTGGAATTTGACATTACCCAATCAGAGATTTGCAGCACAGTGCTATTGGGATGGAAGGCCTGTACTCTGCCTTAGGTCTTCTGCTTCTGAAGCTCAAAAAGCTCATGTGCCATTGGCGGGATGCCATACTGGGAAAAGAACAGTTATCTCATACGTATTTCTCATTGCTGTGGTTAAAATCTCTCAGAGCATCAGTGTTGTCTTGCAACCTGTTAGTTCCAGTCTTCAAAGATGATGTTTCATCTAAGTGGAATTTTGGGAGGTGAATTAAATTATTATGGTCAAATCTCTGACTATCGTGATGTACTGAGGGAACAACAAGAGACTCCTGTTTTCAGAAAGAATCTGTGCAGTATTGCTGAAAAAATTACACATAAGAAAACAGACTTAAAACACCACTAGCAATTTGGTTTTATGTTGTAAGAGCCACTTGGGTTTTGAGCCTGTCTCTTTGAGAAGAGTAGATGGTAAATAGGAACAGTGCAAGAAGGGCTTGCAGTTCAGTGAGCCTGGTTGTCAGTACTTGTGAGCAAAACCAATTTGTGAGGACAGCTATTCCTGCTCCAACCTCAGTGCCACAGAACTGCTGTGGTTGGCAGGGACCTCTTGAGGTCATCTGGTCCAATCCCCTGCTCAGGCAGGACCAGCTAGAGCTGGTCGCCCAGTACCACGCCCAGACTGAGTTGTCCATGGTAGCCAACAGCTCTTGAAATCTCCAAGGCTAGTGACTCTACAGCCAGCCTGGGCACCCTGTGTTAGTGCTCAGTCACCCTCACGGTAAATAAAGTGTTTCCCGATGCTCAGGTGGGGTGCCCTGTGTTTCAGTTGGTGCCTGTTGCCTCTGGTCCTGTCACTGGGCACCACTGAAGAGGGCCCAGTACTGTCTATTTGTTTTACACTCTTGCTTCTGATATTTTTACATATATATAAGCAAGTGTTGCAGAGCCCTTGCCTGGGGCTTCAGACATGACCAGTTAGCTGTCTCATGTCTCACCGGGTTCTGTGCTGCAGGCTGGCACTGATTGCCCAGGGAAGGCAAGTGAAGAGGTGAGAGGAAGGAGCAGCATTCCTTTTGGCATCTTTGGGTAACTAGTAAATGCTGCCATGCCTGAGAGTAATAAATGCAGTGCCCTAAATCCCTGGCAGTCGGCCCTTCCACAATCCTGACTCAGCAGTTTGAACATCAAGATCCTGGTATTGCAAAATCTTTTTTCGTTTTCAGATTGTTAGTCTTCTGTTGTCCAGTCTCTTCCATAGATCTGAATGCAGCTTTTTAAAACAGATGAGTTTCTTGCTCCCATTATTTGAGAAGGTAGTTTTAGCTATTTGCTGCACTGTTAGTTAAACCTGTTCTAAATGCCACTTGCATTCATGTGGCTGACAGAAAGTTAATCTACAAGGAGCTACTGCCTGAAACTTGCCTCTCCTACCCAGACACTGGGAAGTTCTGAATGCTTATCATACAGTGCCAGATAAATGCTTTTTAACGTCATTGTTCCTGAGGCTTTTGTAACCATTAATCAAAGGAAATTTATTTCATGGATCATATCAAGTATATCGTAACCCATTGTAGCTATCTCAGTGTTTCTGTTCAGTTGGCACGTGCACAGGGTTCATTTTAAAAAGTGAATAAAGGCATTGCAGTGTTTGAACGTCAAGCCCGAAAATGTGATAGTAAGGTTAAAGCCCATCTTCTGTGCCTGGTCCATCATTTTCACCTGTATCAGTTAAACTCTATAAAAGAAAACTGCATCCTCACAATGGTGGTAATGCTTGAAATGCTCAACTTCTGCAGGTTAAAACAATCTCCTCTAGGGATTTAGAGTTGCTGTAGGTTATGGTTGGACTGTTTTGATCAAGTGCAGAACAGCCTTTTTGTTTTAAAACAAATTCTGCTGATATTAAACATCCTAACTGAACAAAAAGACAAAGTATTGGGAATATTTGAAGGAAGCAGTAATAGTGGTTTTGTGAAGAGAGTCAATTGCTTGAATTCCAGTCAGAAAGTTCTTGTGTGTGTAGTACTAAAGACCTTAAAAACATAAAGTGTTGAACAAGTGTTAAAGAGGCAAAAAGCTGGTGAGCTTTCTCTGCTGGGGCAGATGTGTCGGAATTAATTGTTCTAATAGCTGTAACACTGCTTCCTATTAACATTTAAATGTTTTTTTCTAGAATATGCTTTTAAGGCCATAAACCAAGGCGGACTAACGTCTGTAGCTGTTCGTGGAAAGGATTCTGCAGTAATTGTAACACAGAAGAAAGTACCTGTAAGTAGGCTGGTTTTGAGGTGGGGAGTGGAAGGAGATGAGAAAAAAGGTGGGGGTGAGACTCTGTGACATTGATATTTTATTTATTAGCGTTGACATATACTGCTGCTTGAACTAAATCTCTTATTGTTCAGCTTGTTACAAGCTAACACTCTTTAGTGCTCAGTTGGTAGATTTCCTCACCAAGTAATGGGATACTAATTGCTTCTGTAGTAGTCAAAGGAATAAAGACACAAAGATTGTCCTGCTCTACTTTAGCATGCCTGTGTTACTCTGGCTTATAAGGGCTGGCTGGAGTTGTACTTAATCAGTTTCCTTATTTCTTTAATTCCTGCTCAGGAAATGCTCACCAGTAGCATGCAGAACAAAAATTTCCTGAGTGTTTCAGCACAGTGGTGAGGTATTGCTTACAAAGTGGGAAAACCTTTGTGTTTGAACACAGTGAGAGTGCAGGTTTGTGGGTGTGTGTGTTCTCAAAGTTTTCTCAGAGGTAAAAGTCATGCTGATGTTGATCATGCTCTAGCTGTCATTCTTTTACAGGTACTGCAGTTTTTATCTTTCCTATTCTTCTGTTTCTTCCTTTACAGTAAACAGTGGAGAACCTGATAGACAGTTTTTAGCTGTTAGTTGACTCTTTTGGGCTCTTCTATAGATAGCAGAACATCCAGAGTCTTCGGGGGGGGGGGGGGGGG